CATAAGAATCTGTATAAAAAACACTTACCTGCTGGCAAATGATTCATCAGAGATCTAGTAGACCTAGTCCACCTAGCCTGCTAGTAAAGTTGCGTTGTAAACACGTGTACTTGTAAGTTGTAACGTTATTATTAGGCCTATACATACGATTGTTAACAACCCGTTCGTGGAGGTCATTAAATTCTAAGAACAGGTTTGCATGAACCGGTGCGAACCGGTTGAATCCCACCACTGGTCTTAAGGTTTGTAAAGCAATATTTTTCTCATGTCGCATCCCTTCAAAATTTGATTTTTTGAGATTTGTAGCCAAAATATGACTATTCCTTATCTCTGTATGCAGGAAAACATTTAACCTAATAGAGCAATGATCACTTGCAATCAGATGTTCACCAATTTCCACCCTTTTGATCATTTCTGTATTTGAAGTTCACAATAAATCTTAAATAGCATTATTTCTTGTAGATTCCCTTACTGATTGGTGAAGAAAGGTATCCTGAACAGTTTCCAAAAACACCTTTCTCCCTGATGGTTTGACTCTAGAATTTCTCAAAATTAAAATCCCCCATAATTCTCCCATAATGACTTCATTAACAGCTGAAATCTTAATCTCATTGTAAAGTTTCTCATTAATTTCATCAGTTCATTTGGAGTTCTGTAACACATTCACAATAAAAGCCTTTTCCTTTTATATCCATTAATAGAAACCCAAATTGATTTAATCTCCTTGCTGTTATCTTTGATATCCTCAACTTCAATAGGACGTAACTCACATTTTATATATAAAGCCACTCCTCCCCCTCTTTAATATTCTATCCCTATTAAATAGCTTGTAACCCTTTATTTCAAAGAAATTTCTGTCATCAAAATCATTTATGTTTAACCATGTTTCAGTTATTTCCATTATATCAAAATCCTCCATTACTACTAGTGCTCTAGAGTCATCTATTTTATTTCTTATACTTCTAGCATTACAGTAGTAACAATTAAGCCTATTCAGTTGTTTGTAAATCTGGTTATTGATCCTTTGAATGACAACTTTCTATAAAATGCGACTTTTTTTTTATAATGGTAGATAGGTTGGTCATATCTAAGAAGGACTACTGTATTCAAAATTAATTAAACAATTTTACTATCATTGTACTTTAATGAAATTACTGCTATCAAGTATGTTATGATTCAAAGTCTTGTGTTATTTAAGTTTTATTCCTTTATTTAAAAAGAAACTGCTAAAAGAATAATTAAAAACCACGTTTGTTCCCACTTGAAGTGCAAGTGGCTATAGGAACCGAACCTTAGACTTCATTATCCAAGAAATGACTATGGTTAAAAGCATCTTTCTTGCTGGCAATAAACTAAATGTATGTACAGTTTATTTACCAGTAACTTGATACAAATTCCTAGAATTGGCCTTGAAAGGAAATCATTGTAGACATTCCTGAGTTCAACCTATGCCACACCCACTTCCAAAGTAAAAGCTGGGTGGCTTAGTGACTGTTTTAAGTTGAGTGGCATATTTATAACCAAAAGAAAGAGCAGAAATCATTGTAGACATTCCTGAGTTCAACCTATGCCACATCCACTTCCAAAGTAAAAGCTGGGTGGCTTAGTGACTGTTTTAAGTTGAGTGGCATATTTATAGCCAAAAGAAATAGCAGATTTTGCCCTTCAAGGTTGTTTATTCTTACACAACACATATGGTATAGATTTACTTTCAGGGGCATTATACTGATGCTAAGTTCTTTGTTGAAAGTGGTATCCATAGCACTTGGTAATTTTGTTTCATCTTATATATATTAGTTTGATCAACAGTTAGATTACATTTAGGTTTTATTTTTATATCTTAGTTAATTAGGTATTATTTGTGTTTTAAGATTTATATTGGAAAGGTTTAATTATTTTCAAAAATTATTCTATACTTTGAATTGGTAAAACAGCTTTAAGACACTTATGAGTGCAAAAAATATTATGACGGAGGAGCTAAGCCCGTGGGCACTTGTGTGTCGACATACATAATCAAAGATAAAGAAAAAAAAAGAGGAAAATAAAACATTACAAATAAGTTATAAGTCAGAAAATAAAGATGTGAAATTATGCATGTCAATCACTGAAGTTGTCATTAAAATAATCAATGAAGATTTAAAAGGTATGTACATATTTCTATTTCTTAATTTTAAACATTTCATTGAACTGTACTTTTATGATAATAGGAAGAGATAGTGATTTTGTAGAGACAAATAAAATATAAACATTTACGTTCGATATTCATTTAGAATGTTCTAAAGATTATGCAAGCGAAATATGAAAACTGTAAGGTAAACATTAGTATTTTTATACTTAACATGAAAATCACTTTGCAGGTGAACTATTCAGATTACATGTGCAAATAACTACATCAAAATTAATTATTTTATTTTTCTGAAATTACATACTTTTAGGAAGGTTCTTGTCAAATTTCAAACAATTTCACCCACTAATTTTGTTTTTGGAATGCAATCTTATGAGAGTGATGTTAGGTGCTAAGAATTGCATAAGCAGTTAGCGTAAATAATGATGCTTCATACAGCTGTACCAAGTGTATGCGGGTGATGACAATAAACTGTTAATCTAGTTTCCATGGCATTACTAAACTGGAAGTTATTAACACTGTTTTAGAGAGGAAAACTCTCGCTATATATATTTAAGAATCTGGTTGGTTCTTTAAAGTGTAATAGATTTGCCATCCGAAATCTAATTTGGGTTACTATCAAGTGTTACTTTCTTATTTGTTGATGTGTATTGACAAAAAGTCATGATCTCTAATCAAAACACCTTATATGTGAAAAAAAGGTGCAACTTAAAGGAATGTAATCAAAATTGGTGGCCAAACTGATAGCTATGTTTATAGCATTGATAATAATTTTACAGCAAATATTCATTCATTAGTTAGCTAGGATGCATATTTTGTTTTACCCACTATCATGCTCTAAGTTAAACAAAAAATGCAGCTTAGCTAACTGATGAATAAATATTTGCTTTAAACTTCTTTTCAGTGCTATAAGTGTAGCTACCAGTTTTGCCACCAGGTTTGATTTTGTTCTTTTTAGTCGCATGCTCAATCCATTTTTGGCTAAACCTTTTTCTCACACTTAAGTTGTTTTTTATTAGATTATAAACACCACAGGTAATCAATACCAAGCAAGTAAAAAAATATTGTGTATAAAAAAGCAGAAAATGCTTATATTTGACTGTACAAATATCAAAGAAAAAATCATCTAGTAATATGATGAAATTTTTTTAAATTTGTCTTTTGTAGCTAGTAGACACTCACTTATTGTTTGTGAATTCTTTGCACTTGTTCCCCATACTGCTGATGAAATTTCAGTTAACTTACTGGGGCAGTTCAGTCCATTCTTGGATAAGGACAGCTGAACAACACTGAACAACATGCAGTCTTCATTTAAATTATACATTTTTTAATTTGTTTGTATTACTGATTTTACCTTTTTTTTGTTGTGTTTTCTTGCTGTAATTTCTCCCCATGATTACTGTTTAGTGTTTTATTTGTTTAATTATCATTATATTTAGCAACTGTATTTTGAAAATGTATACTGATGTAAATTCATTTTATTCTGCTTTAGATACTGAAGATGGAATCTGATAGAATTCCGAAACGTTTATCCATGTCCCCTTTTTGTCAATAAACAGTGTTGTATATCATAAGTGTCGTAATCTTGTTTATAATCAAAACTTCGTCTTCCTTTGAACACATCGATTGCTAATGGTTTTTTTATTCTCTAAATTTGTAATTATAGGAATGTGTACACTAACAATCTTTCAACACATTGTGCATTTTGTTTGTATTTTTTCCATTCAGGAAGAATTGTGTACTTTCTCACAGAGACAGTTACCTGGTGATCATTCTTCAGCTTTTAAAGCTCAAAATTTAGAGGAAGCTCTGAGAATTGCACAGTGTGACATTTCTTCTGAATCTAAACAAATCTTGGAACCGATCTCTAAGTATAAGAAAAAGAATCATAGATGTAAGTGTATTTTCTTTATTTAAGAACACACCAACTTGAAAATTAGTAAGAGTGTTTAAGAAGTTTTCATTAAAATGTATAAACTTGTCTCACTTCATATAACTTATGTAACTGCAAAAATATAAACATTATTTGTCCATTTGCCATAACAGTTTGTTATCTTGAAGTATAGAAACACCATTATTAGATGAAAAGCGGAAGACTTTCGAAACGTCGTCCTCTACATTTGTAAGTTTCTACAACAGGCAGTTGCTGTCCATTTGAAACTTAGATTCATAATGAATACTGTGCCTAAACAACCTATCAAAGATTACCATTATTATATGCTTTATATTGAGAATGAAATATGTGGATCTTGTGCAAAATGTTTTAGATATATCATTTGTCTTCTGTATATCTCATAAAATTGTTCTGTTCATTTGACTTTGTAATAACTTGCAAAGTGTTATGCAGTGGCATATTGCTGCTAATGCAAGCTGTACTAAGCATCCTTATATTCCATTCAAGTTGAATACCTATCCATTTTACAGTGTAGTGCTGCCACATGTATATTTATTGGGTGCTCGATATTGGAAATGGATAATGTGGCCTTTTTAAGAAATTTGATATAAATATATATATATTCATTGTATCAGAAAAAAAATGTTTTACTTATACAGAGTTAATGCACCTTGTAAGAACAATATTGCATGCTACGTGTAATGTGATGGCATGTTGGTGCAGATGCAAGCCGTGTTAAATATATGTATATTCCATTCATGATGAATTCCTATCCATTCTATAGTGCATTGCTGCTGTGGGAAGATTTATAGATGGAGGAATATGTCACAGTTGTTTCTGTAGAACCTGAGAATAGTGCATTAGAGGATGTAGTTCCAAGGATAACACTTCATTGTAATGTGCTAACAACACTCAGTGTTGCATTGTCAATGCTTCTTAGATGATAGATATTGTTATGAATTTGAAAGTATATACAATGTTAGTAGATATTGAAAGTTTCTGATACGATACTTCCCTTCTCTCACAAGATTATTCTCATACAGTGCTGCACTCTATATGCAAAGTTTTCCTTTATGCATTCCACAAGCTTTCTGCTCCCATCTATTGGAATTGAATGATTGCAATATGTTTCTCATGTAAATCATGCGTTACTTCTCCACCAATAGGAGCGTGACATACTCACGTGATGCATGTGACTCCCTTTATACGCCTCTACTGAATTAATTTGGCAGCTGTTGTGCTCGGATGTGTTCCTTTCTGTTTGTTGAAACTTTCACGTTCGTTTTTAGTATACTCACGAAGTGCTCTTTATTCATTTTCACTTCTTTTTACAGTCGCATTGTTATTTATACTTTTGATTATTGGTTGACTCTTCCTTATTATAAATTTCGAAGTTCATGTTACCACTTTGGGGGGCATACCTGTGACTAGTGCTATTTCTTAGGCTACAGGTGCAGGTAACCTGGTGGGGGATTTATCCATATTTATTCACTGAAAGATTGAATGTTACATGGGTCAACCTTTGTCTCACTTCCTTCCGAATGAGCTGAGCCTATTTCCACCTCCTGATTTTGCTGTGCCTTCCATGCCCCTCCTGAGGAGTCAGTTAGGCCTAATATGGTCTTTTTAGAGATTGTTTCTGAGATATGTGACATTTTATCCCTTTCCCCTTTTTCCTATGAACCACGTCCTTTCCTACTACATGACCAATCTTTCCATCCCTGTTCCTCCCCCCCAATATTTGGGTACATGCTGACCAATTTGCCTCACAATTACGTGATGGGATTAGCATGCTTCCCACTCATGGGCTTTGAATCAGTTGGCTTTTGCATGTCATTGTGCAGACTGTCCTTTTCTGGACCAGCAATTGTTAGGCTCTATTTTGCCTGTTTGGGGTGCAGCCCCTGAATCTCCTGTAATTCTGACCCATGCCTAATTTTCCCAATTTCATCTTACCCCTCACAACTCTTTTATGGTATCTCTCTACCCTCCATCACCTCTCTAAGGCTCTCTGCCGAAATTCTGAGTTGTTTTCTGGGGACATCCTCTCCCTTCTTTCCTCCACGATAGCTTGTTTCTCATTTCAGCTCTGGCTTTACATGTGTGGTTTCTCTGTTGTTGGGACCTTCAAGGTCGTGATGTGACCTTAACTCATGTCCATTTACCATCATATTATCTTTGGACCCCATTTCTGTGGCGATACGTCTTTGACACAGTCCCCGAGTCTTTGGAATCATGAGTTGCATCAGTACAACAACAGTCTGCCCTTTCCTGTCCCTTCTTCTCAGGGTACTTCATCTTGTCTCTTTCTTTCACGATGCACGTCATGTTGACAATAGTTTCGGTGACTACCTAGTGAGTTCTGGTCCAGTCAGAACTCAGCTTGCTAATTTTCTTCATAACAGGCGTTCTTTCATGAAGGATTATTGGGTTCTTCAAGTTTTATCTGAAGGATTCGTGATCCCTTTTTTCTCCATCCCTGTCTCTTATACCCGTTTCCTTCCCTCCCATGAATAGCCAGCATCTGTCAGAGGCAGTTTAGGAACTACTATCTCAGCAGGCCATCAAACATGTTATACATCCTTTACCAGGTTTTTATTCCAGACTCTTTATCGTTCCCAAGAAAACTGGGGGCTAGAGGCCTATCATTAATGTGTCCTGCCTCAATCCCTTCGTTTAACTGCACTCTTTTACCATGGAGTCATTTCTCATTCTACGGTGGGCATTTTCATCTGGCTTATGGATGACCAAGATGGATGTTGCTAATGCTTATTTCCACATCTCTATATCACCATGGTCTGTATCTTCAGTTCATCCATCACAGGGTTGTTTATCAATTTTGTGCCCTGCTCTTTGTGCTTGTTCTTGCCCTTATGTGTTCTGTTGGGTAATCAGAGTTTTTGCTTGCCATCTTCATGCTCTGGGGTTGTGATTCCACCATTATATAGATGACTGGTTTCTTCTGAGCTGGATTCAGTCAGCCATGCTTGTTGGTTCCTTTTAGTGCCTGCTTGGGATAGCTGGTTAATCAAATTGGAGAAGTCCTTCCTCTGACCCACCCAATATCTCATCCATTTGAGTGTCTTTTTTTTGACAAATTCAGTCAGGCCCTACCTTCTCCTTTACGTCTTTGTGCCAGAAAACTTCGACTCACTTCTTTCCTCTTCCCAAACATTGTCTGGTGAAAATTAATTCTGATAATTCTATGGTGGTACCAGATATCAATCACCAAAGGGGCACTCGGTCGAGATCTCTCTGTGTGTTTGAATGTTGGATTTTCTATATCGTGCCCACATGCATCACATTCATTTCATTGCATGTCACATTCCAGGTGATTTGAATCTCATAGTGGATTGTCTTTTCTGCCCCGACCCAATATATCTGACAGAGTAGTCTTTAGATCCCCTCGTTTTTTCGTGGCTTTGCAGTCAGTGGGGTTTCCCCTCGTAGATGCATTTGTCACATACCTCAATAACAAGTTACCCCTTTTTTGGACCCTGCATTATACTCGGGCTCTGGCTGTCATTGCCTTCAGCCAGGATTGGTTCCACAAATTCCGTTATGTTTATCCTCCTATCAGATTACTTCATCGGGTAATCTCTCTCATCTATACTACTCCATTTTGAGTCCTTCTGATTGCTCCTTACTGACCAGTGCAAAGCTGATTTCCACGATTACAACTGCAACTTTTCCCACCAGTACCACTTGCTTTGTCTCTTTCCCTTATTCGTCAACCTATGTCACCAGTTCTACATCCAGCCATTCACGTCCTTTGTCTTCACACCTGGCTTTTATCCGGCCCTTGGTTAGGAGATCAGATTTCACCCATCAAGTAGCTTTCCTTTTAGCTCATTCCATATGTACTTCTTTAGTGGAGGTGTATCAGTGCAAATGAAAAGTGTTGTGCAGTTTTTCTGCAACTCAGGGATTTCCTACTGACTGACCTTTGGGTCTTCTCGATTATGGGGTATTGTGCTACCTTATCCCATACCTTTAATTTTACCCGGTACTGTCAAGTTTTTGCTTCCCCAGACAGACTACTCTTCCAGACTGGAATACTTATCTTCTTTATCTGGATTGATCCTTCCTCCCAAAGACCTCGGCAGCAAGGGAGGGTAACACTTTCTTTTTGCCTATTTCCTTTCCTTTTATTTCTCATCTCTACCCTCATCCCAACCCGGATAGACTTCTATGTCCAGTCAGTAATTTTCGTTGTTATATTTCCCACATGGTTTCCTTCCATGGTACCCATTCCCAACTCTTTTGTCCCTTGGCTGTCTTCCTCTGTCTGGGATCTTTCCCTTCTACCCTTACCAATTGGGTGCGACTTTTGATTTGATCAGCTTATTCCTCCTTGTCTTCTGCCACCTGGAATTTGTTCCAGGTGTCTTCTTATCAGATTCGACACCTCACCTTTTCCCTCGCATCTTGTCTTTGTTGGCCATTATCCTACATTTGGGCATGTGGACTACACCTAATACGTTCATCTCCCATTATGTACACCATATCATGGTTTCTTCTTTATCTGGTTTTTGTCTCCCACCTATGACCATTCTTCAGGCTTCAATGTGAATTTGACTGGGTAAGTTTATATTCATACTTTTCTTTTCCTTTCTGGGGCCATTGTTTCATTTACTCATTATATGGACTGGGTAAGTTTATATTCATACTTTTCTTTTCCTTTCTGGGGCCATTGTTTCATTTACTCATTATATGGATCCCACTCTGTAGGAAGTAATGCCTAACAAGGTATTCCTCAACTTGAAATTGGAACTGTACAGCCATATTGACTCACACTTTATCTTCCATGGTTTTGCAGTGCTCACTGTTGAGATGGGGTGTTCCACAAGATCGATTATAGGGGAATAACCTTGTGAGGTAATTGCTTCATAAACTTGCCTGTTCCAGACCATACCACCCATAGACTGCATGAGTAAAGCAGAAAGGGATTGCTCCCCATCCCTGCCTGCTTTGTATTGAATAAATTGCTATGGTCTGCT